CGCCGCCGCCTTCTGAAACATTGCACTATGGCTGTGCAAGCGAAACGGAATCTGTCTAGTTCACTTCGCTTATACTTCGCTTGCTGGCCAGCGTTTGATAAGGTCTATAAAGTGGTCTCAAACTGGATTCTTTCTGTAGTGTGGATGCAGCCTGGACCTAGCTGTTTGTTCCTTCTCTGGGGACCCTTGGGACAACACAGTCCACACTCCCCATCCCAACTCCAGAAGGCATCAGCTGCCACTAATGTCAGCAAAAGATGCCACTTAGCCTCAGAGATCTCTTCCAGAGAGCAACCGCAACCTGGGCCCTGCAATCCTTTTGGTACAAAGAGCCTGAGAATTCTCCATCCTTCTGCAACATGCTTTAGCTCCCAAGCAAAACAGACATCCCTTCTCTTCCATGGACCACTAGATGTCAGCCTTGCACTTCCACAATCCCTCCTGTCCTTAACATTGTCCTACTTTTCTGCTTATGAGTGTGCTTGATGTCCTTGTTGTGTGCCTTCAAGTCATTTTTGACTTATGGTGCCTCTTAAGGTGAACCTGTCACAGGGCTTTTCTTGGCAAGATTTGTTCAGAGGGGGTCTGCCATTGCCTTCGTCTGAGGCTGAGAAAGTGTGACTTGCCATAAGTCTGCCAGCGACTTGAAAGCATGTACACATGCATACGCATAGCAGAAACCCAGCAGGGGTGGTTTAAATGCAACTGCTAGGTTTCTACCTTAGGGAAGGCAGTGCTGCTTAGCTTTTTTAAAGATTTTGCAGCAAGAGATCTAGTTTTTTCCTGGTGCAGAGATACAATCACAGAGAGGGAAGATATTGCACTCTGATTTCCATGGAGCAGTAAAAAAATAAGACATATGGCCAGGAAAGAGGGACTGAAGAGGGGGTTAAAGACGGTCCCTTAATTTCATTAAATGTTAACTAACTCCTAGAGAAGCATCCGCCACTGGCACAGATCCGAGGGAATGATGGAGCTTTTAAACAAATCATCTGTTTACTGTGCCATCCTTCTGCCAGCCACCACCATCCCAGCCCTAATGGCCCAATTCATCATATTAGCTGGAGCACTTCTTCTCCATTGGCAAAAAAGTAATAGGAATTAAGATGGGGAAAAAGCCAGGAGGTGCATCTCCATCTGTTCCTGGAAGACTCAGCCTCTTGGCTTTTAAGTCATCAAAATTAATGCCAGGTGAGCCTTAACTCTGAAAAACAATGGTTGCTTCTGGAACACAGTTGTTCAGTCCTACTCAAGTTGGGATGGATGTGTCAATTCCCATGAATGGAAACA